GAAGGGTCACCGGACCCAAAACGTTAACTCTGATTTTTTTCTTCACAGATGCTGCCAGACCTGCTGAGCTTTTCCAGCAACTTCTGTTTTTGTTCCTGATTTACAGCATCCGCAGTTCTCTCGGTTTTGATGGTTATCATAAAACCCTTTTACAATGACACAGTTTCAGCTACAATAGCCAGGCTTGTGCATATTGTGAGCAGTATGCACCTATCACTAGCAGTGACCACCTCAACAGAACTGTTGGCCAAATATTGTGCAATTTTGATTTTTTTTTGGCTAGTTTTATTGTTTCTGAAGCTGGGGGATGGGAGGGAAGCAAGATGACAAATGGTTATTAAGCTCATTTCTCCTGTGAATTCTAGGATATAAGATATGGCTGGCATCCGACTCACAGCAAGGATGGAACTTATTACCGGCCTGGATGGAATGACACTGAAATGTGTGGTATATTTTTTCACCCAGACACAGGGGCAAGGCTCCTCCAGCGATCAGAGGTGGCAGTGGCAGCGGACCTTTCAAGATGGCGACAACAGCAGGGTGACATCTCGGAGGAAGGCAGCTGGAGCGGGACTCTTGGCCTGGTCTGGCAACGGAGCCAGGGACTCCTGGTTGCAATGGGCCCGGAGTGGGCACTCCTGGCACTGGCAGCGGCAGCATGGTATGTCCAGAGCCAGTGACTCCTGGTGTCATCGAGGTGGCAGCAGAGCCAGCGACTCCTGGTTGTGGGGCGAGTGTGGGTTCAACACGGGACCCGGCATCCGTTAATCTTTTATCCTTTTTATTCTTAAACTATCCAAAATGGTGCCAGATTGTGGCAACTGTTGAAGCTTTTCACTGTATTTTACCGTGTTATTCATTGTAAAATGCAAGTGACAGTAAATAAATCATCCATTCATTCCCAGGGTGCCAGCATGATTCTTGTACTGGTGTCATATTGGACTGAGAGAATATGCCTGATCCAACTGCTAAAGGCCGTGACACTTCAACCAGCACCAGAGAGAGTCATGACCCGAAGTCCAGAACCAATGAAGCTCCAGGCTAAAAGATTCTGTGCCAGCCATGTGGCACAACAGGTACACTACCAAAGGACTGTGGTGGTATGGTGGCTCAGTGGTTAGCACTGCTGCCTCACAGTGCTAGGGACCCAGGTTCTAAGTCCAGCCTTGGGTGACTGTATGTGTGGAGTTTGCACATTCTCCCTGTGTCTGTGTGGCTTTCTTCTGGGTACTCCAATTTCCTCCCATAGTCTGAAGACTTGCAGGTTAAGTGGATTGGCCATGCTAAATTGCTCATAGCGTGCAGGCTAGGTGGATTAGCCATGGGAAATGCAGGGTTACATGGACAGGTTGGGAGGGACTGTGTGGGATGCTCTTTGGAGGGTTGGGATGGGCTGAATAACCTGCATCCATACTGTAGGGATTTTATGACTCACAGTAGTGTAACTGCCCCCAAGCAAAACTACATCAATGCCATCAATTGTAGCAAATTACAGAATTCAACTATCTTGATTCAGTTCTGTGATGGCTGGGAGAAATTTCAGTTTTGCTGTCAGTGTACTTTTGAACATTGATAAAGACACAAAGCGATAGATTTCCTCTGGTAACTAGAAAAGGCAAGAGTGGGAAATCGTCAGGCTGTCAGAAACCCACAACGATTAGATGAAACCTCCTTCAACCATGTGCCAAGAAATAGGCAGGTGTAATCTTTTCACGTAATTGACATTATGTCTGTGTGAGGGAAAGCCATTCTGTACTCACATCTGCCCTTTCACCCACATTAGCTACTAAAATAAAGCATAGCAGTGCATAACCAAAACAAACATTGCTGTGGTTGTAGTCGCCAAGTACCTGTCGTCCAAAGCTTTAAACAAGGAATCCATTATGAATCAGAGTTGAGGAAAATATGATGAGACACCATATTTATTGGAAAATCAAAGAATCCAAGGTAGAGACCCAATCTCTACCATAGCGACCAGAACACCAACAAAACCTGCATACAGTCACACAGCCATCCAAATTACAGCAACTTTGCACTACAACAACAATCTACATTTATATTGGGCCTCCAATATGTGCCACTGCCCTTCACAGAAACATAATCAGGTAACAAGTTGTCATATTAGGACAAAAGGAAAATACTACGGTTGCTGAAAACCTGAAATCGGAATAGAAAATGAAGAAAACCCTCAACTGATCAGGCAGTGTCTGCGATGAATTTAGGACAGGTGCTCAAATGCTTGGTCAGAGGCAGGTTTTAAGGAGCATCGTAAAAGCACAATACATCTAGGAAGAGAATTCCAATACTGAGAACCTAGGCTACAGCTCAAGGGGCGGTGGCCAATGTATGGGCATAGGACTGACAAGAGCTGAAGTTGGATGTAGTATTTATGATACAGAAGTGTGCAGACAAAGCCTGTTGTCTATATCAGGCACTCGGGTCTTAGTAGTCTAGGTGAGTGCTGTTTGCACTGATCTCAGAATCTCAGAATCCCTACAGTGTGGAAACAGGCCCTTCGGCCCAACAAGTCCACAGTGACCGACAGAGCATCTCACTCAGATCCATCCCCCTATAACCCACCTAATCTACACATTCCCGGACACCATGGGCAACCCAGCATGGCCAATCCACTTAACCTGAACATCTCTGGACTGTGGGAGGAAACCGGAGCACCCGGAGGAAACCCATGCAGACATGGGGAGAATGTGCAAACTCCACACAGACAGTCGCCCAAGGGTGGAATCGAACCCTGGTCCCTGGTGCTGAGCGGTCTGTCTTATTTACTGATTTATCCTGTTAAACCTCACGGACTCAGTAGTTTGAAGAGGATTTCCTTAACGCTGTTAACTTCATCACTGGTGGATAAACAATAAATCAAAGAGCTGCAATCTTTTGATAATCACAGCTTGTGATAATGCAAGTTGATGAGGATATTAATTTAAATTTTACATGAAGCCTGAGAGACTACATTGTACAAGATCGAATGTATCAGACTTCCAGGTTTTTGATTTGATTCCCTGATGTTTCAACTCTTATGCATAGTGAACAATTTTGCCGCCTAAATATGAATCTTGTGTTGTTTTTTCACTGAATAAACACACAATATTAATTCTGTTTAGTGTGTATCCAATCTCTCAAAGACATGGAAGCTGTAACAATTTTTAAATCACTGATTAGTTTCGTTGTGTTTTCAAAAGGTTTTGCAGCTTCCAATTTGGATCCCAAACGTTGGGTACTGAGTGGAGAAAGGTGGTATTTCAGCGCACCACCCGAATCACTTCTTCAGGGTAGACTGTGATCAATTTAACCAAATATTAAACTCTACCTGTGGTAATGGCTGGGCTTGCAGAGACCCGATGGATATGTTGAATGGAACCATCCAGATTCTGCAAGGGGACCTGTTGCACTGAAGTATTGATCTGGTTTTCCGACTGGCTTTCCGAATTTAGTGTCAGAACCTGAATTAAAACAAAATGGCAGCATTAGTACAAATTCAATCTTTCGCCACTTTGATCACCTTCATTGGATGTGATTGTACTCTTTGAAGCAGAAGGGGCTGAGGCGAAATTTAATCAAGATTATGAAAGGTTCGGTTAAGTGGATAAGGCAGCTCGGGCCTGGACTTCTACACCCGGGGTGGGTGAACAGAGATGGATGGGAGGATTCCTGCTTAAGCAAATCTGCTCTTTACAAATGACTGCCCAGATATTGGATTTTTGGTCCTGGTGAGGGGCAGGCTGGATTAGAAGTCAGGGCGGCAATCCTCGAAGAATAGGTGCTCAAAAGCTTGGGCAAAGGGAGGTTTTAAGGAGCATTGTAAAAGAACAATACATCTAAGAAGAGAATTCCAATACTGAGAACCTAGGCTACAGCTCAAGGTGGGTGCAGAACTGAGCGGGCAGAGGGCCTGCCCAGGCTGTGTCCAAAGTTTAAAAACTAAGAGTAACAGCTGAAACATGCCACCAGCTTCACCTACACCCCCTTGCCCCCATACACTCCTCATGCTCAATTCATGCCAACTCATGTTGTATCATTTCCCCATCCACCTCAAGACCTCATTCCCTCCATGACTCTTCCACCACCCTTTGCCTTCACACCCATTGTGTCAGCTCATCTAGTTTTCACATGGCAGACCTTGGGACGCATGCAGAGATAGGACAAAATAATGTTCTAGGTGTGTATTGAAAACTTTTTTAAAAAGAATTCACATGCATATAAACCCATTTACTCTGCCAACATCCCTTCAACTAGATGAGAGATAGTAGGAACTGCAGATGCTGGAAAATCTGAGATAACAAGGTGTAGAGCTGGATGAACACAGCAGGCCAAGCAGCATCATAGGAACAGGAAGGCTGACGTTTCAGGCCTAGACCCTTCATCAACTACATAATGCCTTATAAGAACAAACATTTCCTTCAAGTCCTTCATTGAAACAACAAGCAATGCAGATCATTAATAACGTAACCACTTCAAGTCGTTAAAGAATTTGTGAGATGGCAGGTACCCTACTGTGATAATGGATGGCTGTGAAATCAGTCATGCGGTAGTAGCTTCCAGCAATGGAAACCCTCATGCTTGTGTCAAGAGACAAAGTGAAGTTGCAGCTCACTTTGAAAGGTAATTTTGATAGGTTCTCTTGATACTTAAGACTGTTTACTTTGATAGGTCCCTCTGACAAATGCTTCTGAACGTTTTGACAGTTGATTTTGACAGACTGTTCCAATAAGTTTGGCAGTAATAAGTTTCTGCACTTTTTAAAAACATGTATGCATTCTTTTAACAATTCCAAACTGCATTACTGCATAATACTCCCCTAAAGTTTTTCCCATCTATCCCAAAGGGCTCCTTACTTTCCCCAATTGTATTCTGGGATCAGATCTGTGGGGGTACCTTGTTTCTCTAAAGGAATATATTGGTTTTCTAAACGAATACACAAAGTTCAAACCTGCTCTTACTAGATCTTATCTACACACTGTGGGATTTCACACTCCAACACCACCAAAATCCCATGTTAGTGATGTAAATGTCTAGCTATATCTGTATAAAATGGAACCGGCTGTATTCCTGTCCTGTGAAAAGGGATTTGCCATGTTCAGGTTGGGACTTGTCATTTTCAGCCACTTCAGCCATTTTTATTGCAAAAGAGAGTCTCAGTGTTCTGATTGAATCTGAGTCACTGTTTCCACTAATAAAGAGGGACATGAAGTTTAAGGTACTTGTCCAAAGAACTGAAGGAAGATGAGTATTTTTAATCCAAGAAGTTGATATAATATGAAATCTTCTGCCTGAAAGGGTGGTAGAAGCCAATTCAATGTAATTCTTCAAATGGAAATTGGATGTATACTTGAAAAGTAAATATCTGCAGATCCACAGGGAGAGAGTGTGAGATTGGGAATAATTGGATGAATATTTCAAACAGCCAGCACAGGCAGAATGCACTGAGAGCATGCATAATTCTATTGTTTCAGGTATCTTTGCAAATAGTTATGTCCTTCAGTTAAAGTAAATGGCACAATGTGGGATTCAGGACCTCTCTGCACTCAGCAATAATTCCATTGCTTAGCTGTCACCAAGACGAGTCTAACAGATCAGTTCATGGAGTATCTAATTGCCAAATGGGCAAGTTTTCACTTTTTGCTCCTATTCCTTAGGATGCTAACTGTATTAATTGGGCCTTCAATTATATCCAGGTGGTAGGCAATAACTGGGACTCACATGTGTTCATACATGTAGGAAATCAATTAGTGCATTGGGGATTAACGATATGTCATCTGTGATTCTGTATAATGGCTTGTATATGTATAAGCGTTTGGCTCCAGTGTTTTATCATTTACCACCTGACTGCCTGAATTCTAATATAGCAGCAGAGAATGACTGCATTAATAAGCATGGTTTAATGTATTAGTAACTGTGTACATGTACTTTACATATCTTTAATGAAACCAATTAGTTAGGATACAACATAGTTATTAGCGTTCATATCCTTTGATCTTTGTACAGGAAAATTGTTTCATTTCAAACAGTGAACTTTGTGGCGACATTCATTTAATAAATTCCTGGATTTTCTGACTTCCAAAATAAAATGGTTTAGTGGTCTCTATGCTAATATAAGCTAGATCATGATGATAAAACAATATTTGCCAAAAATGGTGATCAAATGACTATGGCTCATCATCATGCTTATTTGGAATTAATTATATAATCTCAGATTCTCAGCTTTAGTTAAACAAAATTATCTTGTCCTTCCAATGCTCACATTTTTTGATGATGATCCTGAGATACAGAGTCCAGCAGGTTAAGGGCTGGATAATGGGGAATGCGAGTGATCACAATACTCCTGACACAGCTGTCATGTCTACAGGAGAACATCCACGTTCCAAAGAATGGGGGGATGTGATACTTGTAGGACACACAGCAAGGGCCACTGCTACGTTTAAATATTGTTTGAATTTTGACGGTGATAGCCAAAAAAGGATGTCCATACACTAAGAGAATGGAGAGTAAGAAAGCACACAGTGCAGGTGCTGATCGTGAGTCTGGAAGTGATTTTTGCATTAGAAACCAATCATAAACTGGAGAAAGAACGTCCAATGGCGTAAGAGGGAAATATTGCAGTTATCTTCCCAACAAGTATCAAATTGGAAGTTGGCTTGAATAGATAACACAATGAAATAAAAGATCACAGAACAGTCCTGTAACAGACGTCCTTACAGTCACTGCCAATAAACTTCCAAATAAACTGATAGATAAGACAATAATCTATTGTCCACAATAAACTTCCAGATAAACTGATAGGTAAGATAATAAGCTATAGTTCACAAGGGACCACAGGCATCTCTCTCTGTTAGAGAGTCAATTGGTTATAGAACATTAGGGGACCAGGCCAAAGTATGGGGCAAGACATGGGGATAGGCCTCAATGAACTACTACAGCCAGTATGGAAACTGAATCCAAACCACTGGAGTCACAGGCTAGCTACCCAAAGATAGTTGGAGAGATTATATTGAGGAAATTGACAAGTTGCAGCCAGTCTGGTCACATAGATGCATTTATACTGAAGACGTCCTTGTGGATGGGAGTTATGAAACTCTAGGCTAATAGCTAAAAGGTTTCAGAACAGTGATACAGATGTTAAAGTCGACCCTTCCTTTGTTAGAAAAGTAATTTTAAAAATCTTTTCAACACTGACCAAAAGTATGTGGGAGCTTATGATCAATCAACGTAAAGGTCTTTTTTTTTGCAGCGAGATACAGTTCAAAGAGAGGTATTTCCGAGAACCCCTGAAAGAGACAGCAGAAGGAAAGCAATGGAAACTAAACCCAAACTAAACAAATACATCAATGGTGCTTTCAGGGTGAGGTAGTAATTATTGATATGTTTTTCTGGAAATTGTTGCACTCAATCAAAGGTAGATTCCACAATGTTTTATTGCAAACAAAAAGGATATCTTTCAGATGCCATCACAATGATGTAAATGATTTCTTCTGGCGTCTTATGTGGAATTTGAGAAATGTATCTATTCGTAAGATCAGAGTTCAGTTTAAAATTGGGAACCCAGCTTCTGGGGTTTTTAGATATACTAGTTTAGAAGATGTTAAGTAGTAGAGGTCTGATATAACTTTAAATCAACAATCCCATTTAGATAATATTGCTCCCATCATGGGAGGTCATCACATATCTAAGCATCAGGAAATAGGATCACATATCTAAGCATCAGGAAACTGTGAAGCTGGATTAATTAAGCTGCACTCTCAGACTGGGCCAGATGGCAATTTTGACGTGTTGACAATGGACATTTCGACAAAATACCCCAAATTAGAAAATACTTGAAGGGCAAATAAGACATTACGGAAATTAACTCTGGGAAGATGGGTGCTTAAATTCCAATGCTTAGGTGACCTACAGAAGATGACGTTGGGTATCTTTACGGCTTCTTCACCTGCCAATATCCCAGATGGATAATCTCGTGTATCTGGTATTATTTGTCATAAGTGAGAATGGGAGTCTTAAGTTTGGGAAGCTACAAAAATTAAAAAGGGTTGTTAATTTTACTCTGGCTATTAAAACACTGGTTCTTGAGGACCATATGGATATTGGGTTCTACTTGGAAACTATTTTATGTGACACACTGTAAAGTGGGGATACTGAAGATAGTGTACCTCATTGAACATTATGCAGCAATCATTCATTGCGGACTAATGTATACTCTACGAAAAGTGTAAGAAACCATTGCAAATTGATCCTGCCAGCCTAAAATAAATGCAGAAGAAAAAGGAAGTGTCTAAAATTAGATTGAGAGGATTTAAACAATCAAGTGTCAAGGTTGTTTTCATAAAGGATGTGTGTGTGACAAAGAAACCATTCAGGAGAAGTCTCACAACCTAATGTTTTCTGCAGCATATGGAAGTCATTAAACATTGTTTTTGAAATTTTGATTACACATTTGAGGATAAAGGAA